ATTCCCTCTCTGCTCCTCTCTAAAAATGCCACCGTCACATTTTCGAAACTTACTGAGCCCATTATCCTGGACTTTCCCTTCGAGACCTGCCTAGTGTACAGTTATTGCGTCATTATCAATGAACAGGCAGTCCAGTCCTCACTTCATAATTTGCAACATGTCCTTTAGCAATGCAGAATACAGGGACGACTACCAATCCCGGGGATTTCTGTTCTTCATACAGGCATGTCGTTCGACTCAGACATGTACTAGGAAGACATCTCCACTGACGCCTGGAAGACGCAACCTGTGCGAGATTTGTCATTTCCACATTTGCAGTCCATCACAGAACTGTTTGCCATGGTTGCCCTTTTAATAACTCCGCTTAGGTTAGGTTATTCGAATGTTCAAATTCTTCTCATCTTAATGACTGAGAAATGTTGACTCTTATTGGGAACACCAAAATGCACACAGATCGTCTTTACTAACAAGCATTAACTTTTGCTCCCATTATAATCTTCTTCAGTGGCGACGTGTATATCCGTGTTCATCTTACATACCATTATCATTGGGTTCGCTTTTGACGAAGTGCAGAATGAACATGTCATTGTTTACGTCTGTCAATGTATCGAAACCGTTCAACTGCGATACGACAACATATGTTAAGAGACGATTTCGGAAATTGGTTTTGTCAAGAAAATCGATTATTCCCATTTAGCCAAAAATTTCATTTTTCCTGCCATGTCTTAAAGTAGGCGCAAAACTCCAGGAGTGCCGATCGATAGGTCGCCAGATGGCCCATGATTTTGGGATTCGCTAAAGCCCAGTGAACAGAAAGTGTGGTGAGGAAGCCCTGCCTTACTTTTGAACCTCTTATTCGAATGCTAAAAAGGTCCATCCTCCTCTCTCGTCCAACCTCAGGTAACCGGAAACGCAGACATAATGGACTTACTTTCGAGTTTCTGATTCCAACATCACGCTTAAATATGACCGCCAACTGTCGGGCCTCCCAAGATCTACAGCTCGTGCAATTGAGGTTTCAAGTTGGGAAGGCCGCTGCTTCTTGGCAAAAATTCTATCCTTCACCAAGCTTAGACGTCCTCTTCATCGAGCAGTACTCTTAACCCTCCGATTTATTGTTATCTCACATGTCCTGAGACATCAATTCATGCCTCTCATCCGCGATTAGCTGACCCATAGAGGGCTGACAAAGGCTATGCAGTGAAACAATAACACTGGTAAAAACCATTTCATTCTATACCACAAATTATACATGCTCTATAGCTTAAGATATCACGATACTTTCTTGGTCTTTCTTAAATCCATGACGGTAAGTTTTCGACCAACGCATCAACCCGTGCCTTATCGGCTTTCTATCCCAGCTGTGGAATGCGAGGCGCTATCTTCTCATACCTGTTGAAAATGTTCAAATTGGTCATAAGTGAGTCCATTCTCCGCCAAATTATGTATTCGTGAACCAGGTAAATAGGTTTGACCGCATAACGACTACCCCACATTTAATGAAGTAGTTAAGATTTACAGGCAGTGCCTCTGTCTATCGCAAATTGTTTGAGTTCATATTTGTCTCCAAATATCGAGTTCTCTAACTGCCTTCCCAGGGGGTAAATCGAAACATCCCCCAGGGGTGCTTTCTGTGATCTGCAACAAATCGTCTGATTTTTGATGGTTTTTTATGCACATGCTTTCTGTCATTCCGACAGTGCTGCAACTTGTCTTCTGTGTTCGTGCTCCAGAGTTCGGTCGACTCCTCACGCTTGGACGGTTCTACAAGCATGCCTCTATTCAGGTCTTATATTTAAATTCGTCTCAACCAAAGTCACCCGAATCCGACTGAAGACCAAGTATTTCTCATTTATTTTGATCAACGCTTATTCATTATATCCGAACACGCACTTGCCCTTATCCTGCACCCCTCCCCTCACTGAATGCGCTCCATCGATGCTCTTGGCGAAGCCTTCTATATTCGCCATATACTAGTAGTTTGGTCGCATCTCCCTTCCCCCATGTTCGGATGGACTCGGTTGAATGAAACCGACCGCATCTGGGTTCCTATCGCCTCGGGACTGATTTTCATGATGCCCTCACTGGATGCGCCCCATCGATGCTCTTGGCGAAGCCTTCTATATTCGCCATATACTAGTAATCTGGTCGCATCTCCTTTGCCCTATCCTCGGATGGACTCTGATGAATGTAACCGACCGCATCTGGGTTCTTGTCGCCTCGAGACTGGTTGTCATCGTGCCCTTACAGAATGCGCTCCATCGGCGGTCTTGACAAAGCCTTCTATATTCGCCATATACTAGTAATCTGGTCGCATCTCCTTTTCCCCATGTTCGGATGGACTCGGTTGAATGAAACCGACCGCATCTGGGTTCCTATCAGCTTGAGACTGGTTTTCAATTTCGCCACTTATTTTTCTTATTCAAGGCGATACAGGCCAGTCCTGACCGACCCATCTACATACCATTTTATGAAATCCGTTACACAATGCCATATACAGCTGACATTTATTTTGGCCATGTTGATGTCGGACTATATTCCATTCTGTACCGCCACATGCAGGCCAGTCCTCCCTGTATTTTTCTGATGCTATTTTTCTCAGGGGTTTTTTTTCTCCTGTTAAATTACTATAATCATTTTTAAATTTTGCTTTGGAGTTTTTTTTTTCACCCCTCGTTTTTTCATTTTTATTTTGCTTAACGGACTTCTAATCTCAAAAACTATGCATTGCACATTGTACAGATTCTGCCTACCTCGTCTAAAATTTGCATGTAAATTTATTTTTACTTGCTTTGATGGGACCCCGGCGGGTCTTTAATAAAAAAAATAATAATAATAAATAATATCTGCCTGACTTTCCTTATGCTCTACCTTATAACGCTCTCTGCCTGATTCCCTTTCTCACATCTTCCATGCCAAAAAGGCTTTCTGCATACATATAAGTCAGTATCATCAGCACCACCAATAAGAGTTTGCGTTGACTTCACTAAATCATAGTCAGCCGCATCTTTTTTAATCCTTGGGATTTTTCTTGCTGCTCCCCTCATCTTTGGACCACCCATATCCGCCTTCTCGCACAGTCAAACGTTTGTTTTCTATTCGCCTTAATGATTTTCCATTCGTGTAATTACTATTCGGTGTTTGTTCGGTCGTCTCCGAATCTACTGATATTGCCTTCATAGGCCATAAAACGTGTGCTAAACTTACATATATTCGGTCCCTTAGTGTCTTTCTGCATATGCTTCCTATCATATATTTTATTTATACATGCTCATTCATTTTGGGCTGATTCTGAAGCTTTAACTCACGTACTGTTTGTTGTATTGCCTGAGCCTTTTTTCCTCCGACTGAGTCAACAGGCGTAATGCTGACAGGAGAATGGTGAGTGTCAGTTTTAATCAATTGATTGGTCATCATGTACAACCGAAAGTCCCGCTTTCAATTCACCCGAGCGGCGTGAAGGAAGTTCCGTCTATATGTTAGCTTTCAAATGAAATTCCACACTCATAAGCCTGAATCAAAGGTAAACGTCATTAAACATTGACCTTCAATAGGTCTTATATTTGCTAGTGGTTCAGCCAAACTATCATATCTGAGAGGAAGAGAATTCTGACCATAAGTTGTTTATCTAGCTGAGCGTCACGCTGATCTCAAAAGACTTTCGCATAATATTTCAAATGGAAAGAAACTGTCGGCAATTAGCTAATTTCTTTATTCACTAAGTCGTTCGTATAAGAATTTCCGTGATCCGCCGTAACTGTGTGCTTGTCAAGCCTCAAAAATGAAGCCCTTTTGATATTCGGTAAACCTTCGCTAGTACGGCGTTTACTCTGGCTCGTGCATTGTATAAAGCCTTGTCAGCCATCCTTTTTACGCCATTGTTAACATCTGTATTTTAACAACAATTTATTAATACGTTTAGTATTGGGTGGCTTGATAAACGCGAACAACCGATAGTCAAAAGTGCAAGAACAGTAGTCAGAACGCGATAACTTCCTAAACCCAAAATATATTTTGTAAACAATTCTTTGTCTGTCATTCTCTTCATGCCGTTGTTAACATCTCTATTTTATCAACACTTAATTCACAGAGATTTTAACAACGGCATGAAAAGGATGACTAACAAAGAATGACTGGCAAAATATATTTTGGGTCTAGGGAGTTATCGTGTTCTCACTACTGTTTTTGCACTTTTGACCCTCAGTTGTTCACTTTGATCATGCAACCCAATCCCCAATAAAAGATATCTGCTGCACATAAAAATTAGTTGAGGTGAAAAAATTAGCCTGTTTGGTCAAAAATAACATGATTCTAGGAGGAATTTGTGCACAAGGTCAATGAGATTCGCCCACAGCAAGCATCAAAATACCATTAAGTCGTCCATTTTCGCCTATAATGTTTAACTTTTAAACAGTTAAACTCATATTTTTCGGTTTTTATCACTTTTATACAAATGTTTAAGTTCATCAAATAACATCCCTCGGTGGTTGACCTTAGAATACCCAATAAGCTTCCAACTAGGCCCTGTTGTATCATTCGCTAAGTCTGTTGGTTTGTCTGCGCTGGGTTCGCGTGCGTTTTTTAAACTGCTTGGAGTGTCGATTTGGACAAGAATGATGAGATTGCTTTTCTTTAAAAGTAGAGCAAGCTATAGGTTTTAGTGAACTGATTTGTCTCTGTCTTGGATAGCCTGGCGCAGGTTTTCGCTCCTTTTTATGCTGCAAAGTTTCTGTACTGTGTCCATGTCAAAGGTGGAAAATTGAGTTTCCCCTCTGGTTTTGTGGGATTTGCATCAGTCGAATCCGCTCTTTGGAGAATATCCACGAAATATGTTATAGTTGGATGCTTTTATGTAAAGACTTCTGTGGTCACGGTCCGACTTTATATCCTACTAATAATTTTCTTTGTTTTTTTTCATTACTGGAGAGAGTTCTGTCCAATATTTTTTCTAATCAGCCTTTAATCATCATATTTTTAGATCCACTTTACAAGTTTTATCGATGACAGGCAATGTTTCCATCCCACCTACTGAACGCCCTGCAACGGAAAATTTCATTTCCGGTCCCTTTGAAATTCCCACTGGCCTGCAATTTCTTGTGAAGTCGACAGAAGTTCGGGTTTACCGTGTGCCTGTTGAAGAGCAAAGTACATTGACCCTTGTTTGTTCTCTTGGCTATCTTTGGATTTTTTTAAAAACTGAGACTTCAGGGACAACGCCCTCTAGAGCCACTTTTGACATGGAGATACAACTTTCTATACTACTAATTATGCAAGATTGGCAGCTGATTAATTTGGCCAAATACACATTCTAGGAGATTTAAAAGCCGGAAAAATGTAGGCGCCCATCTTTAGGGATTTTATAAGCCACCTGACGCTCTCAGTATCTGTATATGTACAGACGGCTGTCGAGCCTAGGTATATTTCTTAACTGGTTTAATCCCAGTGGAAACAAGCCATTCATGGTATCATATTACTTATCTTTATCATCAGAGTCTTTAAGGACCCACCTTACTTTCTGTTCCCCTTACTTTATTATTCCCTTCTGATCACTACTTCTAGACTAGGCCCTTATCCAAATGCAATAATTATTTGTGACCCATTAATAACAGAAACCTTCTCCGTTGCTTTCTTGATTTCTACCCATTGCATTTTCTGTTATCTAGGCAGATGCTGTTATGCCTTTCCACGGCGCTACTTTGTTACTGATCCCGAAGGCCACCCGATCCTTGAGGGTTTTGAACAGAGCAACTGGTGGATGCGACTCTGTTGTGAATCCTGCCACACTTTTGAGGTTAATTTCCACGACATGCATGGCAATACTGTGCTAAGCATGGAGAAGGCTTCAGGTTGTGCGCCCTTTGCTCTTTGTCATCCTTCAGTAAGTTTTCAGAGTTTGGTAGTATTTACTGCCTATCCCGGACGCTTCCTTAAACTCTTAAGCCTCGCTAATGCGATTTCCCATGCCTTTGGCAGGCAACTAAGATTACGAGGGTGCTTGCTGACTTGTGTAATACGAATTAAGAGTTTTGTAATAAACGTCACAGTTTATGAGGAAAAATCGCTAAACACACCCAACTTCGGTCTATCTAAACCTCCCTGCTAGCACCAGTCCCCACCGGCCCCGTCAATCCCCCTCCCCGTTTCTGCGTTTTTTAAATACTGAACATGTCCAATTTGAAATATCCTTATCTGCATATGCACTTTGAATTTATTAACCTACTATTTTGGTCCCCAACAAAGTACACCTGATCCATATTATCCCCTACGCGCTCTTACAATCGTTTTTGCCCTGTATATTTTACGTAGTCCTTATAATGGGGGGATCTGCTTCTCTCGTGGCAAACGCAACTGTGGCAAAAACATTTGTAAGCCTTATCTTTCATATAATTATGTCAGCACAAGGGACTGACGTATGAATGAGAGGCACAGTAAATCAAGTGTTTTCATCATCACGTGATATTTTTACATCCAAAGATTTGTCCAGCGTAAATCAGTTCAAATGGAAAATTTGTTTGAACAAAGCATGATTAACGTCAAGGAAAATTACCACATACATCGGAGGCATTCCGTGCCCGTTAAGTTTCCTGACACATGCTCAGATAGATCGATTCGATGGCCAACATATTGTGGGTAGGTGGACTGGGATTAACGAGAATATGCTGGTACTACAAACCGGCTTCAGTGCGATGGATTCGGAAGTGACCAAATGGGTCGATGCGCGAGTCCACTGCACGATGGTAGTAAGAACATTTTGAGACTGTACCTACAGGGCTATCGATAATCGTGGTGGTAGAACATACTGGTGATGGGAATGATGAATGTGTTGCAACAGCATTGGTGTGGACACCAGAAACTATTTCATCAGTACATTTGCAAGTGACCGACAAGATTGATGCACGATTTAAAGGTGCAGTTGGAATAGGAATTATTCATAACTGACTCCGCATTGCCGATGAAAGGGCGATGACGGTGATAGCACACATGTTAGTTTGAATGCTCTTATTTGTAAGGTTGTTGATTGGTGAGCGGTCTGATAATACTGACATTGCACTGTCTCCAAAACATGTCCTGAACGTCATTTCAAATACGGGCATATTGGTTAGCGTTCGTTGGTACCGCGTTGACTCACGGTTAGCATTTGGTATTTGAGATTAGCGCGCTTCATAGATTGCTGTGGTTTTCGCAGCAGTTTGTCACGCTGGCCGTTTACATACTGAACAACCTCAGGTCTCCAGGTTGATTTGTAGGTGTAAGGAAGACGTCTTTTTTAATGCCCTTGTGTCGACGATTTCCCGCTCATCTACGACTAGCCGTATCAATATCGCCATGAGCAAGTGATTATCTTCCAGCTAATCTACAGGGCCGCACCAACGAGGCTGCAGCTGCCCTAGCATAGCGAAGATACAAAGAACGTCGGTTCTTCATAGGCCACCAGTTTCTGGGATCCTTTCCTACCACTTCAACAATATTTTCTGGCAGCGAAGCGTAGTCAGGACAACCGCCTTGTACAGCATCAGTTTTGTGATGGTTCTGCAGTTGCTCTAGTTGGCGTCCTTTTGCCATCCGATGTCCAGCTGTCTTAAACCTTCGTCTTCGACCTTGATGTTTTTTGAAACTGTATTCACCTAAGCACTCCAGTTTTTTTACTACGATATACGGGTGCTCACCGGTCGCGCTACGGAAATCACTAGTTCGATTGTGCCTTGAGGGTCTTTTCCAAGCCCCACCAGCGGGCACACGGTTGCGCCGGTAATATAGGTGGTATAGTATCGCCAACAAAGAGAAAGGAGACTAAAATGGCCATTTTGGCTTATTAACCGTTGTCAACTAGCCATACTCAACTCCGAGGTTCGCAGCACCTGGGGCTCGATCCCCCGACCCGTTGGTTAGAAGTCCAGCTCCCCTAACCACTGAGCCACGGACTCGTCCGTTGTCGTTGCGGAGGTTCCATTAACACTGATTCTGAGTTCGTCTTTGTAACCAGTCGACGCTACTTAGTTAATGGTCAGTGCCTTTTTCGTGTTGAGTGTTAGTCCTACGTAGAAGCATCCGGACGCAAAGATGTCTCTACTTCTTTGCATAACCGCTTTCGTCTTGATGTTTGTAGGGCAATCATCGGTGCACAATAGGTCGCGGAAATTTGCCTTGAATACTTCCGAGAGAGCTCGCAAGCGCCGGATGTTAAGCAGCTGTCCATCCGTTTTGTTGACTACGCTGATTTCCGATCGATTCACACGATATAGGTATTCATTGGCATGACATAAAACATAAGAGTGGTAACGAGTGCACAACACTGTTCCGCCATATTTTTTAGTTCGAATGCTTCCAGATTGCCTTATTGTCTGTGGCTTGAGCCATCATTCCAGTGGGAAGTTGCCACACTAGTTGTTTAAAATGCTCCGAACACCCAAATTGCAGCACTATTTTCCTGAGTTCATCATGGTCTCCTGTATCGAAGACTTATCAAATCCATAAAGATGCTGTGCAGTCTGGATCACATTTTCCTACATTCATCTTGAAGTTGGCGGGAAGCGAATATTATATTGATCGTTTTTCCCTTCCACCGGAATCCAAATTGACTTTCAGAAAGAAGTTCTTGCTTCAGAAAACGGCTCAGATGGTTGAGTAGGACGCAGGCGAAGGTTTCATCTGCGATGTTGAGAAAGTAGATTCCTCTTTGGTTGTCATAGCTTCGTAGGTTCCCCTGCATTTGCATAAGTGAACGATGATGATGTTTTTGGAGCCCTGGAGGGATTTGTTCTTGCCGCAACATCTCATGAAATGTGAGATACGTTTGTCCATCAGCTGGGAACGAATGCGTCTGTGGATCTCAGTTTGAGTCGGCGACCCGTGCCTTTTCGTTGGATACTTTATGCACCTCGCTGATGGTTGCTTGCGGAAAGGGCGGACGGTCGAGACCGGTGCTGATGACGTCATCGGACACTGCAAATGGTCGATTACGGGCACCTCTAAATTGTTCCACCTAGTGCTCCAGAATTTCTGATTTCTCCGTCGGAATGTCGTTCCATCAGAATTGAACACTGACACAATCTTTTTGACTTGAGGAAGTAGATTACTTTGATCGACACGCAGAAATCCCCGATTGTTGTGACGACCAGTGAAATGGTCGACGTCACTGTGTCTCAACACTTGCTTGGGTTTCCAGGGTTTCTTTTTTTCGAGGTGCAGATTCGGACGACTGCTCCACTGCAGTTAGTGATCATTCCTATCCAGTATTTTACATGCCTGGTGATCGCTTGTATTGTGGAAGTCTGTGAAGTTGTAGCTGCATCCTCCTCGCGGAGTTGGCAAAGCGGTAATCCGTCTAGCACCATATATCGCCCATATGTCACGCTGATCACGCCTGCAAACGATGGCGTAGTCCGGCAGCTATCCCTTGCTTCCTCTGGTCAATCTGTACTTGAACGAAATACCACGTCAACTCCAGGCAGTACTTTTTTTAAAAAACAATGCCACTAACATTTTGCTTGGGTGCCATTTAAATAGCGGCCATTTCTAAGAATGTGTGTACGAGTGTAGACAACAGGGTTTTACTAGATAAACTGAAATTTTCATTGGCGCGAGGGAGGGTGCAACAGCTTAGTCTTCTGTCATATCGGGAGGTGGAAGGTGTTGGTCAGGAGGACTGTGTTCTCTTCGGAGGGCTATTACCGCTGCACCTGCTTATTCCGTGGCCCCCTGACGCCCCGTGGTCTGCACCGCCGCGGTCACTGAAGTCACCAAGGGGAGTTGGTTTGCCCGCCTTCGACAGATTTGCAAGGAGGGCCTGCAGGCCTTCGCAGGATTTAGTTCTTACGCTTGGGAATTGCGAAGAGTAGCCGCTGATGAACGCGGCGGACTTGATCATGCGATTGCGGTTTCATTGTCACTAGAGGATCGTTCATAACCTGTAGAAGGCAGGACAGCCGTTTCACGACGTTCTTGGCAGCAAAAGTGACTCCGGTGTCTCGTTGCTTGGCTTTTGGGCGCCCACTCAGAAATATGCTTATCCTGCTTCTACTTTCTCCAATTATTCCTGTTCGGAGTGGCGGTTATCACTGAGATCAACACTCCGTTTCGCGACAAGTCAGTTCCTGGGCTGGCAGGTCTCTCCTTCTTTTCGGCCGGTCTGCCATTACATTGTCCAAAAGCGATCAAATGTTCCGGACTACCATAGTGCACAGTGTCACTCTGGTGCTCTCTAGGAAGACGCGCTGAAAGGGATGGGTTTGTTGTGTCTCATCGTTTTTTGGACTCATGTTTTACGGCCATGAGCTTCGGACAGTTTGCCAGCAGTCTGTTTGTCAGCATTTTAACTGCACATTTTGTAGTTAATTCACTCGTAGAGGGGGTGAGCAGTGCTCCCATAACCAGGACTTCTGCGACATCCGGGGTGGATTCCGAGCTGCGCTGTGTGTCGCGATGCTGTTATAGAGGGAAGACGGCCGGATTTGCTGATTCGCGAACCGGAGTGCATGTCACTCTCCCTGGGACTTTTTGATTGTGGACTGCAGAGGGGTGGGTTCTAGTTGAGGGACTACCGTGTGCGGCGACAAACACACACACACACACACCGGACGCCTTCATTTGGTCAAACGCATCAGTCAACAACAGTTATCGAGATTTGGTCACCGTGATGAACACGGCTTCGTAGAGCCGCAGGTAGAATATGCGTGTCGATATGAGTTGAAATAGGAATATCTACCGGGTTCATCGATACAATTTATGGGGTCAGCCAATATGTTGTCTACAGGTGCCCATCTTGGACGTAGTCGCGTCCTCTCTAATCGTCCTGAATGGTGTTGCGGATGTTACCTCTTCGTGCGTGGCGATTTCCGGTTGTGTGTGCAGCAGGGTATCTCTTTCAATGTACTGTCTTCCAACCGCACTAAGTTCAGGTTTTTGAGCTGTGTAGTAGGTCGAACACTGTTCGACTTATTGTTCGCGTCCTGCTAAGACATTCACGAGGGGCCAGTGAAACGTCGGGCAAACAACAAAAGCACCCTATCCTGGTGATCCCGAAGTCCTTTTTTAGCAATGTTCAAACTGCCCCTCGACTTGTCGTTTGTGTTTGTCGATCTGCTTTTTGCTTTCATTCTGGCGTCGTTTGTGCGGACTGTTTGGCCGTCCTGAACGACGATGTTCATCCTGTGTCATACGGAGGAGTGGGCACAGTACGGTGACTAACGCGTGGATTGCTTTTTAGTGAGGAGGGCTCGCAAAGCATCTACCACACTCTCCTCATCCACCCAGCTCCGACGACACAACAGACCGACCGGAGGGGGGCTTGGGCGCGATGGCCGACGACTAAACGACCCGTCTACGCGTGCGAAACGCGAGTCAGCTTTCACAGAGGGTGACGCGGAGCTCACATGTATAAGAGTGTCGTAGAGGACACCTTCGGAAGGTACCGTGGGGCCCGACTCAGTTGGTAGTCTTCTGCGCCACTAAGCAGCGCGTTGGATTTGTTATTGTGAGGAGCGCTCTGACGCGCCGTGGGGATGGATTCCCCAATATTGACCTCACCCTCCTCTTCGCTCTCTCCTGAACCAGTCGGCTGCATGACCCTATCAGTCATCTGGTGCTGGGATCGGCCGCAGTAACTGTCATGGCGTGAAGCCAACGCCTAGACGTGCCAAAACATCCTCCCCCATGCCTGGGAGTAGTTATAGCCTCGCGTGGATTCTCCGTTGTTCGATTAACGCGACCCGTAATCCGATCTGGCCCCCTTCTTGGGGACAATGTTGATCACCCCATAAGCCAGAAACGTAATTGCGTAAGGAGACTTTACCCCTGCACCAAGATGAATTGTGCTAAACCTGAAGATGAAGTTGGTAAATTCCCATTGTTACGACGGGTGCCTGGAACTTATAACTCCTCCTCACGGATCATCTCAGCAAGCAGACTCTACTACTCATAGTGTTATTGCGGAAGAGAAGGTGATAAGCGTCCACCAACCTACCAGTACTCTGTGACTTTCCAGACGTACGTGCCATGCCAGCTTTTCAATCAGCTCTCCAGATATTGCGTGAAGTCGATGCTTACGCAGTATTAAAAGATTGTCGGTTGGGTTTTGTGGGAACACCTTGGTAGAGGAGATTGAAGACTTTTGAATTCGACTTTTGGGGTTAACCAACCCAAAAATTATTGAGGGATAGTTTCTATTCCAAACGTTTAGATAGCTTGAGAGCCATGAACGCGAGCATTATAGTTCACGTCATGTTCCGGATCAGCCTCATCATGCTAACGACTAATTACTCTATGCCCTCCTCTAACGTCCATTGGACAGTAGCAAACAGCGGAATATTAACTAGCCACTAACCAGTCTGGCGAGACTACGCTTCGCGCATGGCAGCCATTTGTCAGGCATCACAACGACAAAAAAATCCCATTAGAGTCTCGTGTGGAATCGCACACGCATTTTAGGGTGTGCCAGCAACGTCTATCTTTCCGGGTTTCTGGATATAGGCTCTGGTGGTTGCTTTGAGCGAGGTTTCGACGCACGTTGCCTCTCTAGCGCGGTTCAAAGTAGCGTTAGTGCCCGACTCTAGAACCGGCGCTTCTTGACTCTGAACCAAGAGCATGCGTAGACGCCAAAGGCCCCTAACCGCTTCCTCATTCGTCAGGCGTACAGTTGCGCGAAATCACTTATTTCCCATTGGTTCATGGGTGGCCGTCGAGGTCAGTGGTCCCTTTCCTGCGGGTCTAAATCGTATTTCCCACACATACAGTAGATGTGCTAACTCTGGAAATGTTAACCGGAGTTCTGAAATACGTTTTCGGCTCGTAGGGTTGTAATACTAATTACCGTGCAGTAACATCCCAAGATATTTCAGCTACTTCGGAATGCCGGCTTTTGGACGAACTTCTCGGCCGCCTGCAAAAACCACACTGTAAAAACGACTACTTAAGTTGTATGGTTTTTCCTCGTTGATTTTCGACGTCCTTATAAATGCAAATATATTTTATAAAAAACATGCATTAAAATATTCATTCTTTTACTCATTTGGTAGCTAATTACGCCTTCTTTACATTTTTTACTTGAGGGGAGGGTATAATTCGGTTTTAAAGAACCTTTCCAGTTCCCGAATAATTTTGAACCCGACCTCCCGTTACACTTACACTCAGGGTTTCCAAACTACAAACTGTACATTTTCCGTGTACGGAAAATCAAACATTCCTATACGCTGTTAAGAAGAGACCGTGCGGGGTTTGTAAAATCTCGCAGTGAGTTTGAACCGTATTGTAAACTTTATAAGTAGCATTAGTAAACGCGGCGACACGATGTTTTATGAACGGGCATTTCACGGTCATAAAAGATCTCATAACTAGAAACTTTATTAAACCGAATTATACCCTCCCTTCAAGTGCAAAAATTAGAAGGCGTAATTAGCTACCAAGTGAGTAAAAGAATGAATATTTCTAATGCGTGTTATCTATAAAGTATACTTGAATTTGTAAGGGCATCGAAAATTAACGGAAAAGAAATCATGCTGCTTAAGTAGTCCTTTTTATGAATTGTAGTTTTTGCAGGCAACCGAAAAGAAATTAGTTCAAAAGCCGGCATCCAGATGGAACTGAAATATCTTGAGATTATTCTGCGCGGTAATCAACATTACAACATTATTTAAGTAATTTTTCGAGTCGAAAACGCATTTCAGAATTTCAGTAAACATTAGCACATCTACAGCATATTGTCATTTTTCGCCAACTGAGCATTTGTCCGGCGAGTAGTGTATAAGTTTTTATTTGCTCCGCTGATCCCTGTTCACAGTTTCGTTTTATCCTCTCACCCTTCAGACAATTTCTGTCGCCTCCGGAAGTCAGAACTATGGCTCCGTGTCCCAGACACGCTTCCTTCCTTATATGAACTTGGCCTTCCAAGATATGAATGACAATCCCCAGTTGCGTCTGGTTGGTCCATCAATGCGACGAAGCAAATTTATCAATGACATCTTCAAAGTAGGCTATTTGGATAACCGTTTCTTTTGAACATTGACTCAATGGTCGCCTTGGTGGGTTGTCGATAACCCTAAATTCAAAATACAAATACCATAATAGTGACTATTTTGACTTAACTAAGCTCACTTATTTCTTTTCGTACTATTCTCGTAACTGTCCGTTTTTCTTGATTCGAAGAGCCTCTATGTAGAAAGGAAAATTTCCACCTACCTAGAATTTCTCGGAATACTAATTTTTAATTTCCTAAGTCAATGATATATTCTCTTGTATTGTGGATTCATTACTAGTCTGAAGTCAAATGGCGACACCGTTTTTATGCAGTCTCTTTGCTCCTTTTCTCGCCACTTTCCTTTTTTCTGCGCTGGTGTGGGTGACGGTCTAAAGGGGTCCAATTGCGTCATTTCAACTATAAGGGTCAAATCATCTGAAAGCGTCATGCTAAAATTGCTTGAGCGTCCGACTACGCAGTTAGTAACTGGTTTTTAGGAGCGTTCGTTCTTCGGCCTGCAATCCAGCAATCCTCCCTTCAATGCGATTGTCCGAACTGACGCAAGCATAAAATGAAGTGTTAACCCCACTGTCGCAATTCTGACCTGATGTCTCCCTCCCCCTCCTCCATTCCTGCCATGACTCAAGGTAGGGCCTTCTGTTCACCAGAAGTTGAGAGTTGCGGAGCTTGGGATGCAATTTTTCCAAGCATTTAAGGTGGAGGCTGATTTGCAGTTACTTCCTTGGCTCTCAAATCCAGCCTCTCAGTCTTGCTTGACGCCTCTAGCGTCGTCCTATACAAAAGTTCAGCAAATTCCACGAATTACAAGGCCATCGAGTTCCGTCGACGTTGCCCTGACTGCTCAGAAGCAGCTACCTTGCATTTTGTTTCAAAAACTGTTTTGTAGCATGTCGAATACGGTTGGCAATGCATCCCCTACGTAGCAATAACCAACGGGACGCGTATCCTCTGGTTAGTTAGCTCCGCCACTTTCAGGCAGCATCACTTATTTTACGCGTAACTTTGGAGACTCCTGGTTGCATAAGTTAGATGCAGCAAGTTGAGAAACTTAGAAAGTGAAGTGTTTTAACATGCACTGCTTCGAAGGGTCTTCTTTCATCACCCCAAAGAAAACTGTCTTGAATATGACACAAGGCTATGTACTACCCGTACTACAGGTGGCCTTGCGTTCACTTCCAGGACGGTAAGGCTAGGAGTTTTAACGCCAGGTCTAGATTTAAAGTTGGAACACAGGAATTGATATCTTTGGAATTCAACACAACGCCACCTGTAATACGGGGAATCCATATTCCCATATCCAACCCCCTCGTGTCTCAAGTGAACAGGCTTAAAGCGAAAGTCAGAGCCCAAAGAGGCAACTGCGGAGCGATCGTTGTGGTGATTGTCGGAGAAAGTAATCGGGTCAGTCACGAGAAAATACGGGTGGGAGGGGATTTGGGTCTTATATGTGCGAAAAAATGTAGCAGATGTCATTTTCATCAGTAGGCAGTCGGTTATGGGATTTATCGAGCGGCGCGGGAGAGCGCCGTCCGAGACTAGCGTATGTACCCGCAGAACTCACCTGGAAGCGTGGGTCTTCGACACTCTGGCGGAGTACACTGTCACAAACCTGAGGGCGAAACTGTTAGAGGGCGGGGAAAGTAGGCACTGGTCGGGTGCGTCATGTTACACCAGCTGTGGGAAAATCTCTCCGTAGCAACACTTTTCCTGCAGTTGTCAACCTCAAAAAATACAGTAACTGTGCTACCTCATGAGGTGTTGAGCAGAATTCTGAAATATCTAAATATCTGGAATATTAACTATCGTGCCACATAATGCTAAAATAGTCAAGTCACGTCAGGATGCTGGCTTGTGATCGAGCTCCCCATATACCGTCCGCGTGAAATACATTCCGTAAAAGCGACTACTTAAGTAGTATACATCTTCTTGTTTTTCGATGCCCTTATACACACAAATGTATTTTATACAAAACATGCACAAAAATGCTCTTTTTTATACTCATTTGGTGGCAAATGACGTCTTCTTCAAACTTCATCCTGGCGAAAGCTTATCTTTAGGTTTTTAAAAAGTTTCTAATTATGACATTTTTTCAGACCAAGAAATGTCCAGTCGTACAGCACTTCATCAGCACATTGATTAATACTGCCTGTAAGGCGGACAATGTGGTCCAAGTCCATTACGGACTTTTATGAGTCCTATCTTTCCTCTTCCTAATAGCATATAGAAATGTGTGATTTTTTCACATGAAAAGTCTACAGCCCGTAGTTCGGAAACCCTGAATGCAAATGCATCGGCGGTGGGGGTTCAGAATTATTCGGAACTGAGAAAGTTCTTTAAAACCTAAAGACACTCTTTCTTCTTTCTTCGAAGAAGATGAAATTTCCTATCCAACGAGTTAAAGAAAAAATATTTTTGTGCTGTTTCCTATGAAATATATTTGAATTTATGAGGGCATCGAAAATCGATTGGAAAAATTCATGCTACTTTGGTTGTCATTTTTTACGGAATGCAATTAACGCAGGCGGTCGATAAGATGCCTATTCGTAAGCCGACATCTTGATGTGATTTGAATATCTTAACATTAAGCCATCTTGCTATCGGAACACGCCAAGTCTGGAACGTGCGAAGTGATGCACATGCGGTGCCTCACTATGGGCAACTTCACCAGTAAGTCACCACGGCGTCCACTCCGGGCTAGTGCTGCTTCGCATTGCTTGCGACAGATGACATTTCGGTCTTTTATCTTGCGGATGTCTGTCCTATGAGGGCGAGGGACAGAATCCTTTGGTGCGTCGACTTGCACACTCTTTTCCATACACAATTTCTCAATTCCCTATGTTTAGACTGATCATTTTTGCTCCTATCCCATACGTATATTCCCTCAAAGGCACTGTTACCGCGTAAAGTCAACAATCAACCTGTAATAGACAAGCGATAGCAAAAGTGTGCTTTTTTCCTCCATTCACAGGTGTCGTACAGTGAATGGTAATTAGGCTGTCAGGTTTATGTCGTTATTATGACTTGGCCGACTTCGGCCTGGTAGTTGTTTGCCTGTTCGTGACCCTTGCCACCCATACGGTGCTCGTTTGCTTCGGGAAGCCAATAGATCGGCGTACGCCCATTTCTGATTGATACGGATATTGTTGGCCATCAACATATCCCAGAGTTTCTGGCGGTCAAGCCCTCCATGGTCAAGTTTTCTTCGGCATTGGTTCACCCTTGTTAGACCAGTAGTTCGAACACTGCATGTACTGAGAAAAGTTTGTTTATTTCCGACGGTGGCAAGATCTTATTTCGTAGCCGTACCTGTTAGGGGTTGGGGTCAGGGGTTAATGTTAGGGTTAGGGGTTAGGGTTAAACCCCCTATTATCACTGGTCCCCTTTAACAGACGGCTGGGGCTTGTCTCTGCACGTGCGGCTACGAAATAAAATCCGACCCCAGCGGTACACGGGGAATTTTGTATGCAGACTGGAAGTCTGAAAGTGCTGTCTGACTTTGTTTTTATTTACAACAATACTGGACTGTCATAAAATCTACTTTACACTGGAGTCCATACTTGCCGCATATTTCTGAATAACTACAACTCACCGTCGCCAAAGTCAACAGGGCAATTAAGCCGCAAAGAGCTTTTGATTTCTGTGCCTCCATGCCCGTCCTCCAACTGGCAAACTTAGCCTGCATTTTGCGCCCGCATATTCGCAGGACGCCTCAATCTGAGGAAAGTGGAAACATAAATCGGTTTCAGATCAATTGAGGGAGGGGGAGAGACGCTACCGCACTGTACTATAATTTCGCAACAACTGGCTTCTTGCAGAAATGGAACAAATAGCAACTGACGTGGGCGTGGGATGTTCGTTGCCAGAACCCAGCTGATCTCAGGTCTCTTCGTTGATTTTTGAATCAAGGACGATATCTGGTCCCCTAAACAGGACATGGGAATAGGAACGCCCCGCCCAAGTAATAATTCCGGAAAGGGCAAAATATCCCCGTGTCCTAATTCCAACAAGAACTCTAATATGCAACTGAACCGTTGCCCTTATTTCGACCCTAAGCCTTAACTCTCTAGTTCGCACCTTAATCCTAGACTTAATCCGGACTTACCTTACAGTTAACTTTACATCTAAACTTAAACCCAGTCATTGACCTAACTCTAGCCTTATATCTACCTCCAGTTTCACTGGAAGTTGGCTCAAAGCCACCTCTATTGCAGGCGGTTCCTAATCCCATGTCCTGTTTAGGGGGCTGCATATGTCAGTCCTTCCGTTGAGACCTATGCCCGGGTAGACTTCGGAACTGGATGACGTATGTCCGCCGACAGTACTTAGGCTACCTTTTGGCTCTAACCGAATGGAATAGGTCTAGTCTGTAAGCTCCTTCCTGTTAGTTTGCTGAGTCGCCCTTTTCTTAATGCAAGTGAGCGGCCCAATTTGATATTTCTCTCCCTTTTGTCGTTGCTACCTGTGCAGTCGGCCGTCAAAATGGCCTTTCTTTTCTCCATTCCAGCTTCACGCATTGCATACGAAGGGATCCATTGGCAGGATCACAGTGCAACACTTCTCAGGAATGGATAACTTCCACATCCACTTCCCCGTTGACCTGGATATGCGAATGAAGGCGCTCACTATAGGCGCTGCTGTCCTTCTGGTACGTACAAAGGAGTGTCGCTTCAGAATTTAATCAGCAGTTCACATTTTGGTCGGTAGAGTAATAGAAGTCGCGTTGTAGACCTCAATGACATCAGGAAGCTACGCCACCTTGGTGTGCCGAAAGTCGACTACTGAGAAAATGCTAGTGGTCTTTAAGTCAAAGGTCCTACAAGTTAGGTCAAACCGCGACTTTTTTCTACCGACAACAACGAGCGAAGCTGGAATCGTCCCCCAGCTCTATCTCAAGCCCAGACCATATAGCTTTAAGATCTGAACCCGAGATCAGTCGGCTATTGAAATTGATGCTGTTGCAGCTGGGTCGTGGATCCAGAACCTACTGGCTGTGACTACTGCGTCCAACGTCTGCGACTATTTCAGGCAGTGGGTTCGAGTGACAATTCCGGATGTCAGGCTAATAATCGTCTTGCTATAGCACTCACGCCGCCCTCCCCTCGACTACTTTTTGCAGCTTGCCTTTTCGTTCCTATCGGCCATAGGCGTGGTTTTGGGTCGCGCCATTTCCCCATCTTTTTACATTCTTAAACGATCAATATCGTCTTCCTGTGTCTTAATGACACCTGCCACCTACTCCCCCGGTCTCTTCACGCTGAATCTCACTGAAGAGTGGAAAATGCCATCTTAGATTTGGCGCTCTATTCCACTCAACCGTTTATCAAGCCTTTTTCTTGCTCGTGCCTGCTGCTCTCTCATTTTGTCCTCGTGTTAAAAAGGGTAGTATTCATCTGGCCCATTTGAGAAAAACTCGGCGTGATTCAACTCACGGCTCCCGGTAGGAGTCCCGTAACCTGGGTGGTTGGAGCGTTGACTGTACACACGCTGCGCACTTTCAGTCGTGAGTCCGAACCGCACCGAGGCCGCCCAGACGTCAGACGAATTATGCAAATTTATCAAAAAGGCGTAGTTATGTCTTGTATTAAACACCGGAGAAGACTGATCTCTCCTCTCTCTCCCAGCGCAGAGGGACCTATTCGAAGATTTCCGTCCACAGCTAGTGAGATTGTTACAATGGCAGGCGTCGCGTATGGGCCTCCGTCAACGTGTGCCTTCGGTCACATACGTCAATAGTTAAGAGCCCACTCAGACTTATCACGACTCGACAGAGTCATGTCATGAACGTCACTGCTGATCCCCTTCTGGCTCTGCGCAACAATTTCCATTTTGGGTGGCGTTTTGCGCAGCTATGAAGCGGTCCGATCAAAGGTTTCCTCCTTTGTGCTCTGTCACGGTACAGTAGGTGGGCTAACTCATGAAATGTCAACCGAAATTCCGAAATGCGTTTTCGTTTTGAAAAGATTAATTAAGTAGGGTTGTAAAACCAGTCAGCCTGCAGCATAATTCTATAATATTTCAGCTACCTCAGGGCGTCGGCTTTCGGCTCAACTTCCTTCCGGCTGCATGCAAAAACCAGACTGTAAAAAATGACTACTTGAATAGCATACATTTTTCTCATTGATTTTCGATGCCTTTAAACGTTTAATTATATTTCATGGAAAAAATGCCTAAAAATATTCATCATTTCGCTCATTCGGTAAAAAATTATGTCTTCGTCCAATCTTATACTCGAAGAAACGGTAAAACTTCGGTTTTCAAAAACTTTTCCAATTCCCGAATAATTTTGAACCCGTTCTACCGTTACATTTGGATTCAGGGTTTTAAAACTACAAGCCGTATATTTTCCGCGTACGGAAAACCACACATTTCTCTACGGTTCTAAATTGCGACCATAAACTGTTCATAAAATTAGGCAATAGATTTGATTCATATTGTTAACTTCACAAGCCACATTGGTAAATGCAGAGATATGACAATTTATGAAATGCCATTTCACGGTATTAAAAAGTCCCACAATTAAAAAACTTTTTTAAAACCGAATTATGTCCCTCCTTCGAATATAAAGTTAGAAGGAGACGTAATTATCTACCGAATGAGCAACAGAACGAGTACTTTTATTCATGTTTTCCATGAAATATAAGTAAACGCTTAGAGGCATCGAAAATCACTGAGAAAAGTGCATGCTATTCAAGTAGTCATTTTTACATAGTCTGGTTTTTGCAGGCAGCCGGAAGGAAATTCATTCGAAAGCCGGCATCCTGAGGTAACTGAAATATTATAGAGTTATGCTGCAGGCTGACTGGCTTTACAACCCTACTTGATTAATCTTTTCAAAACGAAAACGCATTTCGGAATTTCGGTTGACATTTCATGAGTTAGCCCACCTACTGTATGTGACGATTTCCTATCGAAATATCACAATACCGACAGCAGGCCTTTTGTGGACTCCTGGGGTCATTGGTCTACTTCCGCGTTCCGGTAGCACTTGCTGCTGATCCGCGACTCCCTACGTCGTGGACCTGAGAACGTGCTTATTTCTCGGCTAGCCCTCACTGATAGCCATTCCACCACCTGTGGATGCGTCGGACAGCCCTCAAAAGGGCAAGCTGACGCATTCCTTTTCCACCGCTGTGTAAGTACGTTATGTAAGGTTGGAAAAAGCGGTATCCGTAAACTTAGCTTGAAAACACGTAACTAACTGGCGGAGTGTGGGTGAGAATCGACCTTTCACTACACTATTCCAACGAAGACATGTCAGGAAGCTGATCCTAACTTCGTCAGTGCTTTGCAGCAAGCTTGTTATTGTCTTTTTACTGCAGAGAGATTCTTGGTCCTTCAACCAAGTTTTCAAAACCCTAAGCAGTCTTTGTTTGGCGTAGTATCAGACTGTTATTCTGCCTGTTCTTGATTTGTGAATGTTGAACAACCCTGAATCGACCTTTCCTTTGCCTTTAACTTCAGGACTGCGTGTACACCTGATCAGACGAGCTCCTTCGCCGACTACTCAACGCGTTTCATTCCATCTAATCTTTTTTGAAGAATATCTTCCTAGTTCCGGAGATCTTTTCATAAATTACCGTTGTTTATTTTGTCGCCTAATCAATCTAAATGGCGTCCTTTACTACAACGCCCACCTTTGCACAGGACATTCGTTGCCTCATCACCTGTAGCAGATTGTGGCGAAGACCTTCGCCCCCCCCCCCTCCCCATTCTTTGGGGCCTTCGTTTTCCGCTATTTTTTCACAGAACACATTACCTTATCGACAGGTTCTGGGAAAATTGTATTTGACGATCAATAAAACTGTGAATTCCTGATCTCGCAAACCGTATTTTGGCATTTTTTTCTGTTACGTTCCCGGTTATTCCTCCACAGGCTGGGACCGTCAGCACTACCATGCCAGGAGGGTAGCAGTAACTTACGCGCAGTCTGAGTAGACTTGAATAGTGTCTGCTTCGATCACTCTCTGTTCCCCCGTTCGTCCAGCCTACCTCAAGTACAAGGTCAGAAAGAAAATGGGCATAAATGTAATGACTGGCTGGGCATAAACCAGCCGTCTACACTCATCACAAGGACGCTGATCTCTCTTCAATACGTGGACCAGACTTCATATACACTTTGTAGGACTGACCTGAGGACCTGGAAGAGACCTAGGCTGTATAAAAGGGGAGCTTATTGCAAGTCGGGACTTTTTAACTAATCATAATGCAGAGGGTCAACGGTCACTGTTTTCATTAAAGAGATCGCAGTGTGTTACGACGGGCGAAACGGGCATGTCTTTGATGAATTATAGTATGCCGGCTGCGAGGACAGTGGCCCTATTTATGTGGCGCGATAAGGACCAATCAAGGCAGATGGAGTTGGCTGGTGTGGAAGAGGGTTTGTGCATTGTTCGATACAGACGAGTGAAAAGGGTACTTTTAAAAAGTACCTGCCAGATTTGCCTCCGGCCTAATTTACTTGCGACTGACATCTAAAAGTGGCACAGAACTCAAGCGGCGTGTTAGTTTCTGACGAATAGCGCCCATGCTAATGCTATCCAAATGCCGACTTCGAGCACTGGACTGTGATCCATTTATTCATTAACTCGGCAATTTCGATAGTAACTAGTCATTTTAGAAGTTACCGGGGGAGCATTAGGCGCCGGGTGCATTTCGTGCACAGCCTAACTGAAATTAATAATTGGTGAGCGTCTGGACCAGGTCCAGTATATCGGTACTGGTTCCATTTGTCAAGAAAGAACTTTTATAAAAAAAAACTGCTGGACTTCCTTAGCAGTACTTGCTGGCTGATCTTGTGAAAATAAATGTAGGCTAGATCGCAGATGGTAGCCAGGCCCCGTATTACAGGCGGCAGGGGGGGTATGTTTACGGGGGCTATTTTGTGGGGCCCCATAATCACATCTGACCCATTTGGCTTCCGCTTTACGTTTGAGGTTAGGATTAGGGTACCGGTTAATGGTTTCCGATATTCGGGTTAGGGTTATGCCTTTGGGTTTAGGTTTTTGGGTTACGATTAGGGTTTGAGCGTACGATTAGGTTTTATTATTACGGTTAGGTTTTTTAGTTACGGCTATACCTAAGGACTACGATTATGTTTACGATTTCGGTTAAGGTTAGGGTTAACGGTTAACGTTTAATGTTGAGGTTAGAGTTAAGGTTAGGATTAGGGTTAGAGTCGCCGTCCGCTTCCCATTCCTGACCGAAATGTATTACCTAAGATAGACCCATTAGCATATTCTGAGGCATTAAGAGACTCCCATTGCCGGACGGCGTACCTCCCTGGTGTAAACTAAAACCGGTGGCCTCCCTTGTCTCGCATTTGGATGTTCTATCACGTGTTGAGGTGAAATAATGATTGCCGTCTTGAGGCGTTTCGTTTATAATTCACAAATCAGAGTGACACAGACGTAACCAGACCCTAATTATTACTAAAAGGTACGGATAAATGGAACGAAATTTTACTACAAAAAGTGACACCGCATGTTCAAAATTTGAATCATCTGCACATCGAGATATTATAGGCCACAATTTTTCATTTAATCCTTTCAGCTATGATTCGTCCGTCACTGTATCATCATCGGAAAACAGGCCAATTAGTCCTTTACTGCAAGTGCCACACCAATCAATGACACCGGACAAATTAGGCTCCTGGAACAATATCTCATGTGGACTTGATTCTGACCAATAAGATGCGGTTATGTTGCTGCACTCAACCATTTATTTTGAAGCCCGTTTCGCCCGGACAAACTAAGTGGTTTAAAAACTCTCGAAAATCTTCGCACGAAGCCGTAAAAGTTTCACAAAGTTGAAAAAGCCCGTGTCCGTCATCTTCAATGAAATCCGTTGTAAGGACGATGACGATGCGCCCAATTCTGCGTAGGCACATCTCTGGGATTTCTGAGGGCTGTTGACGTATGATGCTGCTACTAAACACCGACTAGCAATAGTCCATACTGTTCTTGACACACCAGGTTTATCCGCGTGGCGGTGTTGGCAGGTCGTTCGAGTTTTTTACGACTTTGTAGCTTGTCGATTTTGATGGCGGTGGTGTATCAAATGATTCATTCCGTTGATCTCAAGCACCTTTGTGACTCTGGCTCGATGAGTGATTATTTTTAGCAGCATGAAAACGTTTATCGATTTCTAAATTGCGTCATGTGCGAACCATGTCTCAAATGAAATAAGGCGCTAGTAAATTCATAATCGGCTAAAACGGGGACAAGGTCATGCACACTGAAAGTGAAATAAACCAGGTCTGCTGAAGGTTCATGCGCAGGGTTTACCCTTGGAACATTTGCCGTAAATTTATGCAGTAGAATTGTGTTCCATTTATTTGTGACTCTTACCAGTAAATATTTTTTTTGGTTACACCTGAGCCACCCTGTATTTATGGGCAATCGCTGGCGACCTTGGGGAATTTACTCCTGTCTGTTATGGAAAGTTGCGTAAATATAATCAAATCCTTGAGGTAACCTACATTGGTTCAGATAATGTCGACGAGAAGAGGGATGCAGAAGAATCTTCCGTTCCTCCACTACTTCCTTTTGCAGAATGTGATAATTTGCATCGAAGAATTCCCCAACTAAAAGCAAATGTTAGGAGCGCTAATCTTCACACAGGAAGGTTTTTTTAGCTTAAGAAGGGTCTATAGCCAGCTACCTGTAGCGAACACACGCCCGTTTTTAATCCGTAAATGGAAGAGAATATTCGCATCCCGGGTTCTTGTTTAAAAGAAGACGAAAGCACGATCACTGGGACGGCAGCTCACATCACCGCGAAGTACAAACGCCGTCACCACACCGGGGGACCATTGTGGGCCAGGCAGCACAAACCGGGCCTAGCCACGGACGTAGTCCCCCTCCCCCTCCTCTCACGGCACAGCGATATAAATGTTCACATGTTACTGCACTCTAGCAGTCTGTGATGATGAACTCCAGTTCGAATTCGAAAGCTAGGGCCAATAAATCTACCGTCCCATGATCGTACCTTCGCCTTTTTTTAAATAATCCGTAAAGTTCTCTCTCAATATATGTTGGGCCCAACCTGATCCCCTATTTTCTGTGCACTTACCCAATATGTGCTGTTGTTAAATTGGTCTAGTAGTCTTTGGAATTCAACTGATACCAACTCTCATCAGTATATTCATGCATATTGCGAGCAACTGGCTATAAAATAGATCAACCAGGAAGCTCATCGAATTGATGTTTACAATCGTAGTTATCCAAAACCAGGCCAATGAGGCATTTGCTGCAACGAACGATCTTGAGCAGAACGTAGTCCCAAATGTATGTGTCCTTTAGCTGCGCCAAGGTGGGTTTCTTAGGTGATAGGACTCATGCAGTGGCAAGTGGTAGGGAGGAAAAAATTCGAAATTTCCAAGGACACGTTCTCGGGCTTGTCTGTTTTCTGTCTTATGTTTGGAAAAGTTTGGTCCACTACCCAGGATAGGAGACACGGCCTTTTTGAGTCGTCTCCTCAACCACTGACGCACTCTGATATTCGAGTGATTTTACAGACAGGGTGCGGAACGCTGCGTTATTAGTCGTAATCAGCCCAGTTTGCGCGCTCGAGGTTCGAAACTCCGTCAGTTGGCCATTGCCCGCGTGGGCTGCAGGCCCTCAGCTCGGAGCAAAGCCCGAAGTGCCTACTTCCGTCCTGCGATCAGGATAGATCAGTACACC